ATATATATATATATGTGTGTATATATATATATATATGTATATATTTGAAAGATTATACACTTTTCATACATATTCTCCCACATTAAACAGTTGCCTTTTACTCTCTAAAATTCAAATGTACTACTGGCAACCAGATTAATCTCTTTTATGAAGGCATATATGCCAAGAGGTGAGCAGTAACACAAATGGCCAAATCTTTCAGCTACTAAGGAGGAGAGAAGGTAATGCATATTACTAGTTTCCTAGAAACTAAAGGTAAACATTTATTTAAATGATTGATCATACAAAATTACCTTATCACCTCTTCCATGGTAAAAATAGCTTCCCTTTTAAAAGAGTGCAAGAGAGTCTTGAGTATGATTTTACATGATATGATTTTATGAATATGATATATACTGAAAGATCCCATAAGCTACATGCTACATGCCCCTTCACTCAGGCTACCTATTTCAAATTGGTTAAATCTTAGTAGACAATATATTCAAAATCAAAAGAGGACCAAGGGGCGCCTGGGTGGCGCAGTCGGTTAAGCGTCCGACTTCAGCCAGGTCACGATCTCGCGGTCCGTGAGTTCGAGCCCCGCGTCAGGCTCTGGGCTGATGGCTCAGAGCCTGGAGCTTGCTTCCGATTCTGTGTCTCCCTCTCTCTCTGCCCCTCCCCCATTCATGCTCTGTCTCTCTCTGTCCCAAAAATAAATAAACGTTGAAAAAAAAAAATTAAAAAAAAAAAAAAGAGGACCAAATGTATTCACTTAATAATGTCTGTTTTATGAATTTACATTTCCTCCAGTACTCAATTAATTAAGATTATTTTTCACTATTGAATGATTACTATGTGAAAGGCATTGTGCAAATATATTGCAGTGATAGTTCTTCCTAGAAACTACTCGAATATGAGACCTATTTGAAAAGAGAATTTTGGAGAGAAATTAAAAATATTTAGGGTTAGAAGGTAATTTGGTTCAACTTATTCATTCATTCATCACACAAATATTTATTGAGTATTTACTGTAGCTGGCACAAAACAGTACTGTGGGCATGAGAAGATATAGCCATGCATAATCTAAAGGGGAGCATACAAACAGTTATAAACAGGAGTAATGTATGGGAATTATCAAGAAAAACTTCCTTAAAGAGGTGACACATGAGCTAGCTATCAAAGGATGAATTCAGGAGAGTCAGAAAAAGTACAAGTGGGAAAAGTGGGAAAAGTACAATATGAGCAAAGTGAGCAGCATGTGCAAAGGCATGTAGGTGAAAAGAAACTGAGTAGTAAATGCAGATGAGGTTGGAGGTAAGGGTGTGGCTGGTCATGAAAGGCATTGCACACATACCATTCTTGAATTTGATTGAAAGGTGATAGGTGTAATAGAAGAATTTTAAGCAAGAGTGATATGAGCAGATTTTCCTATAGGTGTGTTGTTGCAGCAGTAATATAGAGAATCTTATTGCAGTGTGGACAAGAAGAAAAGCTAGAAGAATAGATCGCCATTGTTGCAATCCATGTAGGGGAGGGGATGTCTCTGACAGATAACCAGACAGTAGAAAGGCCCAGAGCTGATGACTGATTTTCTATTTGGAGATGTGTAGAGATGTGTAAAAGCTTATCTCACAAGTGAGCTAACTGACCTAGAGTGTCTAAATGACTTGACCCAGGTCATTCAGCTAGTTAGCACAGACCCAATCAAGTCGTCTAATTCTTTTTTTTTTTAAATATAATTTATTGTCAAATTGGCTAACATACAGTGTGTACAGTGTGCTCTTGGTTTTGGGAGTAGATTCTTGTGATTCATTGCTTACATACAACACCCAGTGCTCATCCCAACAAGTGCCCTCCTCAATGCCTATCACCCAGAGGTTTGTTCTCTGTATTTGAGAGTCACTTATGGTTTGCCTCCCTCCCTCTCTGTTTGTTAACTATTTTTTCCCCTTCCCTTCCCCCATGGTCTTCTGCTCAAATTCCACATATGAGTGGAAACATATATCTGTCTTTCTCTGTCAAGTCTCCTAATTCTAAATCCACTGTTCTCACTGTTATGTGGTTATTTGTAACTCAAATTTTTAAGAAATCAGGTCATATTTAAAATGCCTTAGGAACTTGCTACCTAAGAAATCCATTGTATATACATTGCAAAAAGTACAATCACTGCTCGAATTTACATTCTACAGATATTCTCAAGTGTCCTGATGTTTACTTTATATTTACTTGATTATATGGTAAAGAGTTTTGTTCTTTTTGAAATAGATTTTCAATATTGTATATGACTGAAAAGTATGCTGTTTTTCTATTTGGCTATAGTAGTAGTACAAGCTTCGAAAGTGGGACAAACAGTGAAGATGTTAAGAAAGCCAGTGTTCTACTGATCCGCAAATTGTACATACTAATGCAGAACCTTGGACCCCTTCCTAATGATGTTATACTTACTATGAAACTCCACTACTATAATGCAGGTAGGTGGAGACCACTAGTCAAATTCCTTCTATTTATTTATGTATTTATTTATGAATTTGTTTATCTATCTATCTATCTATTTATAGAAAGCATGAGCTGGGGAGGGGCAGAGAGAGAGAATCCCACGCAGGTTCCCACGCTGTCAACGCAGAGCCTGATGCAGGGCTTGAGCCTACAAAAATGATGAGATCATGACCTGAGCCAAAGTCAGACGCTTACTGGTCTGAGTCACCGAGGCGCCCCTAGTCAAATTCCTTCTTAAGCATTGAAGTAATATTTTATATAGAGAGATTTTGTAAGCATCTGAGAGATCTGTTGCTATACATGAAAGATTAATCTAACTTCTTGATTAAATTGAAACACAGTTTTCTTGGTTTTCTGCCCTTTTCATTTTGCAGTGACTCCTCATGATTACCAACCCCCTGGTTTTAAAGAAGGGGTAAATTCACACTTCCTGCTGTTTGAGGGGGAGCCTGTAAACCTGCAAGTGGGATTGGTCTCCACTGGCTTTCATAGCATGAAAGTAAAAGTCACAACTGAGGCCACCAGAGTGTCTGATTTGGAGAACAATCTCTTTCAGGAGAACAGCACAACTGAGATTACCCATCAGGGTCTAGACTTTGATGAGGAAGAAGAAGAATGCAGCAATCATGTAAGACAAAGCTTTAGTGAGACTCTGTTGCTTCAGTTAAACATAGCTAACATTTTCCAGTTCCTACACAGGTTATATCACAGTAACAGTCCAATGGAGTATGCCAGGTATAAAACCTAAAACAAAACTAGCTTCTGACCTCAGGGAGTCTTTACTGTAAAAATGTACTGTCTTCAAGAAGGGAATATACTTTGTTAGATGAAATTGTCCATTATGAGGAGAAGAAAAAGACTTTCTAATATATGAATTTTTTTTTTTATTTTTTTTTTCAACGTTTATTTATTTTTGGGACAGAGGGAGACAGAGCATGAACAGGGGAGGGGCAGAGAGAGAGGGAGACACAGAATCGGAAACAGGCTCCAGGCTCTGAGCCATCAGCCCAGAGCCCAACGCGGGGCTCGGACTCATGGACCGCGAGATCGTGACTTGGCTGAAGTCGGACGCTTAACCGACTGCGCCACCCAGGCGCCCCACTAATATATGAATTTTATAAAAGGTACCCATGAATTTCTTTCTTCCATTTATAGGTAACATTTTTAGGATTTAAAAAATATTCTAGGTATTTATTCATACTCACTGGAAGTATAAATAAGTTCTTGATTACTGGGATAATTGAGTGGTCAGAGGTGGTGGAAAAGAAGTTACAGATAATCTCAAGTCAGAGTGAAAACAAAATGATAGTCAACTGTTGGTTATGTGGACAGAGACAAGCTTTGGGCTAGGTCCCTGGGAAAAGTCAGGGAGCTTGTTTGGAGCCACTGGACCAAATAGATAGGACTCAGCCTTTTACCTTCCTACTTTCTCCAGTAGAGACTAGAGTTGAGTACTTGCGAGGGCCCCACTGTGTCCTAGGTAAATCCACACCCTGTCATCTAGATAACAAAGTTTAATGTGTGTCAACATTGCATTAAAAGGATTCTGAGCTAGACATAAAGGGTTTTTAGAATACTTAGTGGGAAGTGATGCTATAAAATCTTTTCAGGAACTATTTTCAGATTAGGATGCTAATTTGTTTGCCTGAGATAGTTTGAGTCTTCCTTAAAGGGATAACTATAGTAAATAACTTTTGAATGTTCTTTCTGATTCTTTAAATCTGGTGTATTTCATATATTGAAAGAGGTCTTATTTCAATTAATATAAATAATATAACCAAACAAGATTTTTTTTTCCATCTTTAGTATTTTCACAATGTCATACATGCTAATGGCTTTAGAGTCTGATGCAACTTTCTTCTGAATCTGTTCAAGGAAGATATAGCTAACATAGGCTAGTTTTAAAAAAATAAAGGTTTTTTTAAATGTTTATTTACTTCGAGAGACAGAGAGAGAGAGAGAGAGAGAGAGCAAGTGAGCGGGGGAGGAGCAGAGAGAGAGGGAAGGAGAGAGAGAGAATCCCAAGCAAGCTCTGTGCTGTTAGAGCAGAGCCTGATGTGGGGCTTGATCTCACAAACTGTGAGATCATGACCTGAGCCAAAATCAAGAGTTGATCACCTAACTGACTGAGCCACCCAGGTGCCCCCAAAAAACCAAGGTTAGGAAAAGAATGAACACGATTCAACTGGATTTTTATCTTTCAAAATTAAGAATTTCTTTCTCTTTTACCAATGGAAATGAAACCAGACAACTTGAGAATGAATAATTCAATTGATAGATTAAATAATACATGTGATAACATTTGTCAAGCGTATGTTTAATAGGAACTATATATACAAAGATCAGAATTTTGTGGTAAACTCAGTCAATTCAAGTTCCTTCCTCAGCCAGCCAATTATGTGAAAGGATTTAAGTAAGTCTAGAGAAGAGCTTACTGACAGTTTGTCACTCAGAATTCTGTTTGCTTTTATTTTATTTTATTTTATTTTATTTTATTTTAT